GCACAAGATTTGGAGTAAATATCTGAATGTAATTAAATTAAAATGTAATCAGGCAACGCTCTGTAGCAGACGTTGTTCAGAGTAAATGACTGAATCACTGAAATGGAGGCAGGGTGGGTGGGCGGGGATAATTATCTTCTTCTGTCTAGTGGGAGTTGAAACTAATAATAAAATTTAGAATGTGAAAAAAGAAAATAAAAGCGCTATCATAACTTTTTTTTGTTATATACTATTGGCTACCTGACCTAACACATATAACGTGACCCGAGCTGTCCTGACTTTTCTATTGTCTCAAATAAGCAAGCTTAAACATTTCTGTGAATATTTAAAAACCGCAAAGTACATTCCTATTGTATTTTATGAAACATCAAATACTAATCCCGCCCACCCGCCCTCTGTTTTCTCGGAGGGTATGTCATTTACCAAAATCAGTCTGATCTTAGCGAGTACTAGACTCGCCCACTTCCTCTATTCGCTTAGAGCGTATATCATTTGCCAAAATCAGTCTTATCTTATCAAAAACTAGCCCCGCCCACCCACCCTCTATTTTTTAGAGGGTATGTCATTTGCCAAAATCAGTCTTATCTTAGCAACTACTAGCCCCGCCCACCCACCCTCTATTTTCTTAGAGGGTATGTCATTTGCCAAAGTCAGTCTTGTCTTATCAAATACTGACAAACTCTTGACATAAAACAAAATAAATTTTAGTATTTCATTCAACAATTTAATTTCGTTTTGTAAAGGAGCACTGAGCCGAAATAAATAACTTATAACTGACAATTGTACGTAAGTGAATGAATTAAAGACAACACACTGATATTTTATGCACGAGTACAAATACATAATTTAAAAATTAGTCTCATGTAAAAAAAATGTAAGAGATTTATTAGGTGTTACCTAAATATTTTTCTGAAAAACCGAAACAAAGCGTCGACTTGTGAATCATACATTCATCAATGCACTTACGTATTATTAAATTTATCAACTTAATAACTTTATTATTTATGTTATTAAAAAAAAATGGTCGAAAGTACAATGAAACATATCCAGCATTTTCGAATCGCCTTTTTCCTTTACACAATTTTGTAATGAATATTTTTGTATTGGTGCAGTGTAGTACTTGCTATCGCTAAGATAAAACTGATTGTGGTAAATTACATATCCCATAAGAAAATAAACGGTGGGTGGACATAGCTAGTATTTCTTAAAATAAGATTGATTTTGGTAAATGACAGAACAATTGTAAGAGTAATCACTAAAATGAAGAGGGGGTGGGTGGACAGCTTGGTTATAAAAGATTCTGTATGAAAAAGTTAAACTTAGCCCCACCCGCCTACCCGTTCTCTCATTTTTTTTTTCTTCAGAAATAAGAAATAAATGTTATAGTAAATAAGTAGTACGAGTATAACAAAAAAATTAATATAAAAAAAAAAATAGCGTACATTCTATTAGTTCCTATTCTCAGTTTACAAAAGAATATATAATTCACTCCGCCCACTCATCCCGCGTTCATTTCAGTGATTCATTTTGTCTAGTCCGAATGCAAGGTTGATTTCAATTGAAGAGAGATAAAATCGTTATAATGAGAGCAGCATGTGTGGGCGGGACTAGTATCTGATAAGGTAAGATTGATTTTGGTAAATGACATACCCTCTAAGAAAATAAAGAGTGGGAGGGTCTAGATAAGACTAACTACAGCAAACGACATACACTCTAAGAAAATAAAGGGCGGGTGGGCGGGGCTAGGAGTTGTTAAGATAAGATTGATTTTGGTAAATGATATATCTTCTCAGAAAAAAAGGGTGGGTAGGCAGGGCTAAAATTTGTTAAGCTAGGACTGGACAGTACTAAGAGTAGTCACTGGAAGGAAGAAGGGGTGGGAGGGCGGGGCTACTCCTTGTTCATAAAACTAAAAAAAGCAAAATTCAGCCACCTCCTTTCTCCATTTCACTGACTTATTTTATTTAGTGTAAAATGGAAATTGAAAAATAACAGTGTTGTATTTTCACAATTTTCTGGAAAAATGGAGTGAGCCGTTCTCGAATTAATCAATAAAATAAATTAACTCATTCATTAAGCATTCGGTTTGGCAGATTCAAAATTAAATTGCAAAATGTTGTTTTATAATTTTGATTTTTTTTTCAAAAATTTGGACCTTTCAGGTAAAAGCTCAAAACGGAGTTATTAACTACATGTGTAGGACTATATCATTTTATACAATTTAAAACCCATGTACTATGTACAATTTTGAAGTGACGACATCACATTATTGGTGAGGATGATGAGACAAATTTTGGTTAGCGTGTTACCATCTACATGATATTCGCAATATAAATCCAAAATTTGAGAACAGTTGGCCCAGTATTTTCGGAGGTTATCTGTCTAATAAAAAACGGGACGGCAGACCGACGGACAGAAAGACGGACGAACAGATAGACGGAAACGGGAGACGTATTTATTCGTACTCTAGGGGTCACGAAAGGTCGAGAAAACATAAAAGTAGGAGTCGGCCGACATACTCAATTCCAATACTTCGCTAGCTTACGCTTAGGAAATAAAAAATGTATTAACCTATAATTTTTTTTTTTAATACTAAAAAGAGTTGAGCAAATTAAGACCTGTTGGTATTATTGTTACAGATTAATAGTTCCTCAAGATAATAATTTTATGTAGAAAAATATTGAAATAAGGTATATATTATGGAGAGTTTGTTTCAAGAGAAATTTATCATACAATAGTTAATTGTATGCAAATTTTTCTCAAATATACTCAACAACGTTTTTCTTTGTAGTACATAACAACTGGTTCTTCTTTTGCTATAAAAAAAATGCACGCCGCAAAAAGTTGAAATCAATACCGTTGGGAATGTTCCAAAAATCATTGCTAGAAAACTTGTAATGTTAAATAGTCCGCAATATCCGAATTATTGCTTTACATGTTTGTCAATATATTTGCTAGTTTGTAGGGCACTGAAGTGAAACAAACCTGGCCTTGGGGTTCCTCTGATGTCGCAGGAGATTTGAATTTCTGTGGAAAACAGGAAAATATTGTTGCGAAGATTATGCGAGCAAATGAGATTTTGAATGCTGAAAATTCGTATAGAAATTGTATTGGGTCGACATCGACATCCAAACTGTAAACATCTCACCGTAAAAAATGCGTCATAAATATTTAAATAACGTAATTTAAGTTTTGTAAGTTTAAAACGTGCGCCTTATAACGTATTTTTCCTACTACCGTAACTAAACTGTTGTCATTTAAGTTGTCATCTTGATGGCACTAACTTAAATATGGATATGAGCTGTGACTAAACAGTCACCTAAGCCACTGGCTGAAATTCACCGCGGTGTTTTTACTCCCCGTTTAAAGTTGTTTCTTGTCAAGTTGACAGTTCATCAATTTATGGAACATTATTTACCTGTTATTGCGAGATGCGATTGCGGCGGCAACGACTAATAATTAGAAATTTTTGAAAAATAATAAATCAAGAAAAAGAAATCCGCATAACAGTGCGAATTAACAAATTACACCATCACCTTTCAAAAGAACTGATTATATTGGAACTGTGGAATAACAAAGAAACTTAATAAAAAATAAAATCGCTCTTGTCGATGATTTACTACGGTTGCCCTAAAAGTTCGACGTGATTGCATTTTCAACTCAGGATTGAAAATGATGAAATAAAACAGCGACACATCTAAATGAAAACATCATTCAATCGAATTTCTATTTCGCCAGATGTCCAACCGACCTACAGAGACGTAGCCTCTCGCAAATACCACCCCTCGTATCGAAATGAATTCGTTTTTGTTTTATGCTTTTTTAGGTTCAATTTCGTTTCGCTTTACCCTCAAATCTCGCACCCCGACCACACTGATATCATCCAAATTACGTCGTTACTGACCCCTAAATCGAATTCTAAATACACATGATTCTTTAAACTTAAATCGTAACGATTTTAATATGTATATTAAATTTATACATAATTAATAACAGCAATTCCCAACTGCAGCAAATTTGTAAACGTTGCAAAGAATAATTAAAAGGCGCAAAATAAAAAAAAAATGTTATCAAGTAGTAACGTGAAATGACATTTAATAAGTTGTCAGGTTAGCTTTGAAAAATGTACTATTTTATTTAAAAATAATTATTCCGCTCCTTTAAACGCAAATTAAAGAATTTACTTCAAATGGAAAAACTACTCCAAGATTTAGAAATTTGTAAGCACCTACTTAACTAACCATCCTGAAGGAACATTTTTCTTAATACAATAGGTCCGAGATGCAATAATTTCGTAGATTATTTTAATTTATTATAATACAAGCGAAGTTACAAAAATACTTCACACAAATATGCATACATTTTATATAAGGTGAATCATAACCATGAAACCATCAGGTACTGAATTAAAAAACTTATTTCCAGCGAAAACCCGGCGCCTCCACCAAATTCGTTACACACAATTTCAGAAGAAAATTCGTTCAGTAAAATGGTCTCTCTTTGCCAACAAAAAATGTATTCATTTTTTTTTTCTATATACATATGTATATCAGTTGTGGTAAAAGATTTTCTGTGCAGTTCTCAAAAGCTTTATATATTGCCGTAAAATATTGGCTGACAAAGCACAAACGATAAAGAAAAGATTGATGTGCCATACAGGAAGTGAGTTGAATATCAACGATTCAGTGTATTACAGCAATATACTCGTATAACCTGAATGGTGGCAAAATCTTGCGCCGCTTTATGAACAAATAAATTTTTATTGATTAGGCAATAATTTTTCATTATTGCTCTCCCTTACAAGTAATATATATTTCTTGTTCTTGAAAACGTAATTAAAACAGCAATTTCGTTAGATAAAAAAACTATGAATGAGTGTTGTTGCATTTCCTGAGCAAAAATGAAATTCTTAGAGAATTTTGTGAGATGTCAAACTTGTACTGACCCTAATTTGTGGAATCGATTATGTTTGTAACATAAATTCTGTGTGTTTGTGGTAGGTTGATGGCATCTCCGTCGTAGGCCACACGAACCATCAAGCCGTCGAGTTATTACGAAGTACAGGACCAGTAGTTTCAATAAAATTTGAGAGGTATTTAAGGGGCCCCAAATATGAGCAGTTGCAACAAGCCATTAGGGCAAACGAGCTTAGACCGCCATCGCCACTTTCACCCACGACCGTTTCATCGTTGCCTAAAGTACCCCTGAGCTTAGTGGTGAGTATCCTCATTTTCTAATAGGTCGTGACGACTTTTCAACAAAAAATTCCATATTCAACCTCCAGCAAATGAGCTACCTGGGAATAGAACCGGAAGGGGAATCACGCACCAGTTTTGATTTCGATTCCGCCGTTCTCTCTGAAGGGCTGGGGAACGAAGATGAGGAAATTGTGATAGACTGTCGAAGGTCGCTGCAGTTTAGCATCGACAGCCATGAATCGATATACGAAAAATGGAAAGAGAAAGTGGCTGACGACGTCGACATTGTGGTATTGTATATATATCTTTATTTTAAGGGGAGTTTTAGGATGAAATGGATTTTAGATTGCTCAGATGCATAAAGAACCCAATAGCGGGTTGGGTATTAGCCTGGAGGGTACAGTGGATGTAGAAGACGGAAAGGAAGTGCGTCCGCATCATTATATTCGAAATATATTACCTGATGGTCCTGTAGGTCGTAATAAAATTCTACAAGCAGGAGATGAATTGTTAGAGGTAATTGCTTAAGGTTATTTGGAAAAATCGTAAACAGTTTCGGGTATAACATAAAACTCCGATTTTTGTCTAATTAATATATCTGTACAACATTGCAGTGGGCCTTTTATGTCTTCTTTACGTACATTTAGTGGTATATATCAGAAAAAAAAGTAGGATAAGAAGCAATGCTAACTATTGACTCCCTCGTAACGAAGAAGTATTAATCTACTTCTGGGTCTCATTTGCGTACTTTGGTCGAATTGTGTTATAACGTCAGGTCTAGGTCTCGTTCTTTTTTAAGATGCTGTAATTGGAATACCAGAAGAAAAATGACTTGGAAATTTTGTGAAACTTAACTGTCAATGTAACATACAGTTGCGGCCAAAAAATCTTAGACGTCGTAATTCCACCGTTACAAAGTGTAAAACACCCATTAAGTATTGTAACCTTATTTTTTTATTTTATGATTTTTGACATTTTGGACAAGCTGACCCTGAATGCAACGTGATAGTTCATTCAAACTTCAAACATCAAAACAACAATACCATACAGACTACATCAACAATTTTAGAATGATAGAAAAATGACGTTCAAGATTTTCTGATTGCCATTGTACTGCTATAACGACAAAAACGAAAAAATTTCCATAGTTCTCTTAGTCTCACAAGTAACACACTGAATATTGTCATAAAGACAAATGAAAGAATAATGCTGTTTTAGTTTTCACAAAAATGTTTTCCTGTGAATTTAAATATGAACCATAGAATCGTAACTAAGAGAGAGTGAGATGTAGAAGTTATCCGTAATGACCGATAGGGGTCGGTAGTGACCGATGGGTTCCATTTTGTCGCAAATAATGCGTATATACAGAGTCATCAAAATTGATTGAGAGAGTTGGTAAACCTGAACTTGAATAATTTGGTTTATTAAGTTGTATAAAAATATTAGCTGTCAGATTTGAAGTTTCAAGTTTCAAATTTCAAAACTCAGTGGCGTCTTTTCTCGACTTTTTTTTTGGTAAAAACATTAGTTGTCAGATTTGAAGTTTCTAATTTTTGTCACGCCACTGAATTCATTGCCATATAACCTTAAACAAATCTGTCATAAGGTTGACAAACTTCACGACAAAAACAGGGGGTACCAACTCTCTCAATCAATTTTGATGACCCTGTATGTAATAGACCCATTAAAATATGCTGTATTGATGAGACCTAAGGAGGTCAAAACTGCAATCTACAGATAACCACTGTGGTATCTATAATCTTTAGCAATATAAGCAAAATATTGTTTAAGAAACGTGGTGATAGCTACACCTTTTCGGAATAAAAATGTAACATTTAAAAAATACATACAAATGCGGAGCAAATGAAATGTTTCGCACGAAGGCGGAACACAAAAGAATTTTATCTAATCTGATTCCAGTGTACACATTGTGAACAAACAAAACATTTATGTTTCTCAAGCAACAGCGATATTCACATGTAGTGACTTCCTTTAAAAGCGTTTTTACAGAAGCGACGAAAGATTTGCATCGCATAAAATAAATTCAGCTCTTTCAGAATGATTATTTTTGTTTTAATGGCACAAAACGTAGGCGGTAAGTCTGATATCAACCACACTTTCTCCTTTGAAGTCGTCCATAGCTGTTGCTTAAATTTAAATCTTGTTCGTTAGAGATACGCACCGGAAGATTCATTATCTTTTTTCTTAATTATGTAAATTTGTATATTCCAAGTCTACTTTTCATTATTTTGGAATGGTTGAAAAGAAAAAGGGATGTTAATAATCTTTTGTTGCCGTAAGCAGTAAATGTATGTTTTTGTCAGAAATATTCCGAGTTGTATTAAGTCAGAAACATGTTAATTATTAAAATGGGCACCGTGGCGAATGGATAATACATATTTTTATAATTAATAAAGCTTCTCTGTATATACTAAGAACACCGAACAGAAAAGTATTTAAATTTTGCATGCTTCTAACTTTTGTTAAATATATTAATAAGTAATTGTTAACTGAAAAGGGCCAACACAATGTAATGTACTTTTTCTTCCAAAGTAAAAATTTGTATTTACATATAAAATCCCTAGTTGCAAAAACGATTCTACACCCGGCATATATACAATTTTTAATATTCGAACTAGAAGAAAAAATATCATTTATGTGTTCACTTTTGTAATAAATTATTGTCTAGAAATGTTGACATTGAAATTCGTTATAAAAGCTGCCCTATTTGGTACAAATATATTATCGCTTTAGATATTATCCGACATGTATTCTACGAGTATGTGTAGAAACGAGCGTGACTTTTAACAACTTATTTTACGACCAATTCAGCACGACGCTTAAGGGGATCAGCCTTAAATAAAACATCGCAAATATGACATAAAGCTTTTTTCAGGTAAATGGTATACAACTGATGGGTCTGAACCACCTAGAAGTAGTGTCGATCTTAAAGCAGCTGCCAAACTTCGTTAGTCTAGTGTGTGCTCGGTATCCGGTTCCTATTAGAATAATAGACACTTCTCAGCACCGAGAAGCTTTCCAAGCGAGGGTAGATATTCATTACACTCCTCTCCAACTTGATGACTATTTCTATTTCAGAAAATATTAGCTGGTAGTCTTCAAACTTTAATACCCAATAATGATCGTTTAGTAAAAGCGAAATCGGAAACTTCGATAGCATCAAGCTTCAACAGCGAGCAGTGTAACGAAAGTAGATCTCGCTCGTTAGAACTGATCGCTGGATTACCCATGTGGAGCACCGAACCGACCGTAGTGGAATTAATCAAGGGGGATCATGGATTAGGATTTTCGATTTTAGATTACCAGGTGAAAAAAAATAGTAAATCGTTATGGATTTAAGAGTAGTTTGGGATCTGAGGCTTGAAATTCGCCCGGATTTAGCATTTGCCAGGTGCTTAGTTAAATATCATTTCTATTTTGCACATCACTGACATACGAATTGGAAGACAGAATTCGGTATGAAATTACAAGCGGTCCTTGCACTGCAGTTCTGATTTTTTCAAGAATTTAAAAAGAATGCTCTTAAGTAACACTATTCATTCGGTTGTGGCGTATGTTGAAACCAAATTCTAGTTGTTGTATGAGATGAGATGACATATACATATTTAATGTTGTTCATAGTAATAATATTCACCAAGCTCACACAATCTTTAATGCCCCAATCTTCGAGTTAGGCTAGAATTTATTAAAATTAGTTCATTGGATATAGAAGAACCCTTCCAACAAACAGCTGTTTTCTCCATTATTCGGTGGACAAGGTGAAACTGTACTACATGTATATAAAACACACATTTCGCCACCTAGTGCCGTGGCGAGAAACGAAAGCGGCAGCGCCCTCCTTTTAGCCGTTAGCTGTTACAGAGTCCACTGCTTCAGCATTACAAGAAATCCCTTCGTCAGCAATCGCACGAGGTATGTTTCTGTCGAATTCTTCACAACTTACGCACGTATGTTTTTAAACGTTTTAAAGTGTAAAAGTATGTTCATATGCGGCACTGGGTACTGGAATTGTAACATTAATAATAATTAACCGCTAGTTTGTACCTAAGTTTCAATAAATGCAATTTTATAAATTTTTAACAAGTTCCATTATTGTCGTGATTGTCATGTTTTTTTCATGTCAACGTCATTGGAAGTATCATAAGTTCTGATTTCAACAAATCCAGATTACTTTAATAAAGTGGCTAAAGGAGTTAGGGGGTCAAAATTTAAAAATTAAATATTGCTAGGATGCAAATCTGCCACAGCATCAATAATAATGGGTCTCGTCTGGATAAAATTATTTTCGAGTTCAGAAATTATGAAATCGATAGCGGGAAAAAGTATATGGATCCTTAAGTCATCTTTTGAATTTAATTGTTTGTCTTGTATGGTTTCGTCGACAATGTACTTTTCAAATTTTTTTGGAATTTTTCTTCTAGATTTTTTTCTTATTTCTTCGTTGCTTGCTAGGTCTATGTTATTTTCTTGACACATTTTTTCTGTTTCAGCATATATTGAAGAAAATTCAGAGAAATCCGCTTGTCTCATTTTTTCAAAAGTGTCAATTAATGAACACACAAGGCCATTATCACATGTCAGATGTCACTTATCGGAGATAGTCGCTAATACCTTTACATAACGATAGAATTTTCGTATACATACAAATGTTGAAATCACACCCGAAATTTATTTGATAAAGCAAACCCACAGTTTCAGATGATCTATCACACTGTTCATTAATCAAAGTGTTTAGTAAAATTATATAAGTATGTTTTAATTCAGTTGATTTTTGTTGTGGTTTTATGTAGGTATGTCTGAATTTAAAAAAAAATTGCATGAACAAGTGACCCTGAGATGAAAACCGATAAGTTGTCCAATAGGTTAAAGAAACGGTGACCATTAATATAGTTTTTACAAACGTTCACTAACACCAAGTTTAATCTATGATTATGAGATTATAACAGTGGACATAAATGGTTTGATTAAATTCGTCTCTAAAAAGTGTTTGGGCTCCATTTAATCGGCCACTCATCACACTTACCCGATCATAAGTTTGGGCAACACATTTTTGAATATCAATACTGCACCGAGGAAGTACTTTTTTTTCTATAATTAAATAGATATACTGCATCCAAATCGCTTGCGGTATGATAACCCAAAAATCTTTTATAAATGACACCATCTAGATAAGTATTTGTTCTACTTTACTACTATCTTTCGTTTCATCGCACATAACTGCAAAACGTAACGTTCTTTCGACCTCGGACGAAATTTGTTTTAAAATTATTTTATACAATATCAATCTGGAAAATTTCATTTTGAATTTTTGGGCTTGTATATTTTGCTGTTTTGATGTTTTCCTCGCCAGAAATTTTCTTTTTAACAAGATCATTGTATTTCGAAAGCAAATTTAACAATTCCAAAAAATTCCCTGTTAGCGCTAGTTTCATTTTCGTGATGCCCACCGTGGGCTATTCCTTACTAAGCTGTGTAAAGCAAAATATTCTCGATTATTCCTACGTACGTTCTATTTTCTTTAACTAATGCCAATTGGTAAAAGCACTGTACTCCAACCACTGCCAACAATTGTACCACTCGTCTTTAAATTGTCAGAAACGAGTATCAAATTTTGTTTTTTTTTGAAAAACTTTAAGTGCGGTTGTCGGTTGACAAGGTCCATCAGACAGTAGTTGTGAATCCTCAGCTGGTCTCGATGCCTTGAGACACGTAGATGGTAAAGGTGCGGTAATGTTGGTTCGGATACATCGATTTCGTCTTCAGATTCCAAATCATTTTCTTCGTTCCTTTCATCGATTTCCACATCACTCAAAAGAGTTACATCCTCTTTAGCTTCATGCCGTTCCTTATCCTCATCTTTAATCTGTATTTTAGTACACCTTTTGAGGTTGAAGGCTTCGGGGACTCCCGCTTTTGATCCTTGACTGACGGTATCGGAAAATAGTCAGTTATGCTACGTTTCTTTTTTAAGATCTTCGCGGTTCTAAATCTCGAAAGAAACTGATTTTTAAATCCAAAACAATGTGCGCGCACGTGTGCAATCGTATTTTTTCTTAAAATAATAAAAATAAGCCGACTTGACTATTCAACCACTGCATTTGTTTCGACTAGTAGATATAATAAGCTGCGTGTCGCCGTCGCCATAATATGTCAGTTCGATAATTTTATGGTGGTTATCAAGTTTTCAGAGTGTAAACATCATCTACGAGCACCGGCTTCATTTTCGGGGAGTAAAAAAATGTTTTCGAGATTTTATTACAAAACAAGTTAAAAATTTAGACCAGTATTCCCAGAAAAATTGGGGTGGGCAGCAGGGTGGGCTTCAAATTTTTGGTTGGGCCATAGCCCACTTTGATCCCTCCTCACTTCCGCCACTGCTAGTTTATTTTATAGTACAAAACAAAATAATTACAGGATCTGAAACCATCCACGTAGACTTTTTCAAGCAGAGCTATAATAAAGGTAAAAACGCTTTTACCAAACATCCTTCTATTTCTGTAAGAAAGTCGACCCGTAAATACCAAATATCTAAAACAACATTATCCCGAATTAAGCGAAAAATTCTTTCAGAATTTTCACCACTTGACTAGGTAAAGGACCAACACAGACGTGCAAAGAGTGGCTGTGGAAATGTACACAGTAAACTCTCCATAAAGTTCTTGTGACAGATGATAAGTTTCATGTCCTCGTAAATCCTAATGCTGTGCCGAGAATGGAATATTTTCACGCTACATCTTGATGCAAATGATCACAAAAGAATTAAGCTAAAAGCGAAGTTTTGCAAAAAATATCGTGTTTGGACAGCTACTGTTGCCGATGGTAATGTTTCGGAACCTTTTATATAAAAAAAACTCAATTAACCAGTATGTTTATTTATTCCTTTGTATAACTAAAAACACCCTTCATCGATCAATATTATGGCATTACGCACGAAAAGTTGTTGACTTGTTATCCGAAGATGTCAAATCTGTTTATAGTGAGATCGAAAGATTTTGGGCAGTATATAAAAATGTATATCGTGGGAATAGCAAAATATAAAAAAAAATAATATAAGAATATGGAATCGGCTTTAGAAAAAAGTTGCTCGGAAATCTGGGAAAAGTAACTTCCTCGGCGACGAAGCGACTACTTTTTTAAGCACTGACATACCTGTATCAGTGACATCTTCGCCCGGGAGAACGCCATACCCCTAAAGTCATCTACCTGAAACCATCCAGGTAGGCTTTTAGAAAGTAGAGCTCCTTTGGGTCTGGGTCGATACTAGAATCACTAAACAGATAGATACAATAATAAAAGCGCCTGATAACTACGTAAAGAACAAACCTACCGTTCTTGTCTCAATAAACACAATATGGGATGAGCGCATGCTGTTCATGCGATATTCACAGGATCACTGCACCTGTTGAACAAATCTAGTGTAGTTTAGTGTAATAGCCTATGTTCATCGCCACAGTTCCAAAAAGGCTGGATCGTATGGATCGAAATGATCGATAGCTTTGTACAATAAGTGTGGGAACTCGTTTATCTATGTATGATAAACGTACTCGTATATGGGCCATGGTGCTAAGATTCTGCAAAGCTGTAATTACTAATAATTCACTCGTATTGTTTTAATAACTGACATTTTTTTTTTTTTTTTTAATAATAATGAAAAAACTTTCAGAGTTTAAAAAATATATTTGTAGTCACTGCTACACGTGTTTCGGTACACAGTATCGTCTTCAGGCAGAAGAGAAACTGGGGTTTTACAGAGCTATTCCTGAATTTATACCTGATTTAACAATGGTGTTTTCAAATTTATGTTAAGTAAGGGAGATTTGTTTATTTCGGTTTGGTCGTTCATTAGTGTATTTAATTTATTGTACCTATTTATTTCCAGACATTCTAACGCGTTTAATTTTGCGCCTTTATTTTCTATGGGTAAAATTTTGAATTCGTCGTTGAAATTATTATTTATTATTATTGAAATTATTATTACAAATTAGCCGCATATCAATCAATGTTACACAGATTGTTGACTGTCCCCTTATCTGAAAATAACTTTGAGGTCGAACTTAAGAGAATAAAAATAATAGCTAAAAACAATAACTTAACTTATAAGAAAAGCAGATTTAAAAAAAAGTATACAAAATTAAAAAAGAAAAAGTTTATATAACTATATAATATAAAAAATAAACTGCTGAATGTATTCTTTGATACAGATATTGGCATGCAACAAAACTTAATGTCGATAATAAAAAGTAATTTGATTCTTAAATATCGATTTAGAAGAACTAAATAAACAAACTTCTCTGCGTTTGATGTAACCATTAGCACCCTCCATAATTCTTCTAAAAGGATGATTACCAAAGAAATTAGTAGAATCCTAAATATAGATATGTTTCGTCTAGATCGGCTGTCAATTGTCGGGACGACGAACGACAACTTAGCCAACAAATCTGGATTGTCAACATAATCATTAATAGTCCCATGAAGAACGCAAGCAACAGCAATTTGTCTTCGAACACTCAGTGTTTATGATGTTAAATTTATTCATAATCCATTTCAATCACCTTTATTGTGCCCACGGCCGAGTTTACGAGTATATTCTAATGTGCGGAGAAACCTTTTTTGCACTTTTTCCAACAGTTCAGAATCAACATTGTAAATTGGAAGCCAAATGGAGGAACAATACTTCAGATGAGATCACACCAAAGAACAAAAAAGAGTTTTTTGGGCCAGTGGAACAGATCCTTACAATTACGCCATATGAGTCCCAACATTTGCAAAGATTTTTTGAAAATATACGCGTAATGAGATTTGAAGGAAAGAGCAGAGTCAAATATTACCCCCAAATCTTTAATTTCGAAATACGAGCAACAGAATGATTATTTAATTGATAGTCGAACTCAGTGAAAGATTTCGTATTACAAAATGAAATTATGTAACACTTTTTAAATTTAAGGATAGCCAATTTTTATCACAGTAAACAAATAAAGAGTCTAATGAAGTTTTTCAGCATCCAAAGTAAAATGTATGTTTTTAAAAAATTTCAAATCATCAGCATAAAAAAGATAATTACAATGACGAAAACAACTAGTCAAATCGTTAATGAATAATAGGCAAAGTATAGGGCCACAGTGTGTACCTTGCGGTACACCAGAAGAAACATCAAAATGATCTTAAATGTATTGACCTGTTGTTTTCTGTCCATAAGAAAGAAGATTAATCAAGGAATTGTAAATCTTTAAACCCAAATTTTTGTTATTTCAGAATTAATAATCTATGGTTAACACGATCGAACATTTTAGCGAAGTCTGTATAAATAGAATCAACTTGAGATCGACTGCTGATAGATTCATTAAAAAAAGAATAATATATTCTAATAAATTAGACATTGTACATCTATTGCTGCGAAAACTATGCTGTTTACCAGAGATTAATTATTAATAAAGATGTCCACTGCAGTTGATAAGATATAATACTGTCTAGAAGAAATTTTAAACAAAATAAACAGTAGCGGCGAACGAGTTGCATCAGGTCCACTATTGCAAGACTAATACAAAGCAGAAATATATTCACAAACATTTGAAAGAGTAGGTAACACTTAAACCAAAATGATGGTCAGGGCAGTCAAAATTTCTAGAATTTTTATTTTTAGAATTGTTGCCACCGTCTCAATAAATGAGTTGAAATTATCCCGTCAAGGCATCTCCATTGTCTCATACTCAGCATTCTTAGGTCATGTGTGCATACCACGCGACACAGATTTTATTTCTAGCAGTAGTTCTGTTGTTGACCTAATTATAGAAATTCAAATGTCAAATGCAAAATGTTCCTACGAAAATATGAAATTTTTGAATAATCATGTAAATTGCAGTGTAATGGTTGCTCGTAATTTCAAACTATGCAGTTATAGAACAAACACTACCGGTTTTGACAAATGCTAACAGCAAATTTTAGTAGGCGATAATTTCGAGTCTCACATTTTAGCCTCTATGTACTAATGGCGCTTTTTAGGACCCTTTGAACCCCCAAGAAACTGTGATAGTCATTCGTTCTCTAGTACCTGGAGGCGTTGCCCAACTAGATGGTAGACTGATTCCGGGCGATAGACTTCTATCTGTCAACGACATCAATCTAGAACACGCCACTTTAGACAGGGCCGTACAAGTGCTGAAAGGGGCCCACAAGGGGCCCGTGCGGATCGCCGTAGCCAAACCTCTGACAGCCAACGATGCCGTCTCGCACACGAGTCAGGTAAGACTTCTTTCAGGTCGAACACATCTAGAAACGTAATGTGTATGTCTGTGTGTTTGAGGGAATCTCAAAGACTCTAATGGACGATTGTTTTTAGTTCATACGGAAAATTTTACAAGAATGGTCGGAAGAACTGGAGTTCTTGGTTGTGGTAAGTTAGGTTGGATATCTCAGACTTTCATTTAACTAATTTTTCGTTGCAGAACTAAAAATGGACTAATGATCCCGTCTCGACGTATTTATTGTAATCGTTGTCGATGTCAGTGTCATACATATCAATGGGATTCCCACAAACCCACAAACACATTAGTTGTGCTGTTATTGTGATAATAGATTATATTTATGAAATATATTTGTTTAAAACAACGACCGAAGAGTAATTTTGTAACACACTTTGGTAACAAAAACTAAAACACGATATTAAACATTAACAAATATACATACATATATATACAAAATTCTTGAAATAGAATTTTTATACTTAACAAATTCTACAATCATTTTTTTAAATATAGGAGCACGTAACATACTCTTTCCACTTTTATAAATAAATTATATATTTCATATTGGCTTAACGAAAGAGGATAACAAAACAAGAATAAGGTATATCAAAATGTACTTAATAAAATTTTATTAATAGCTAATTTTAATTTGCGACCAAAAAATCCACATATATTTACTTCTCATTACTTTGTTTCAAAACAACTGTAAAAATGTTACAGCTTATGTATATAATATATCATCCTGGGCAGCGGAAGCCACAAAATTTACGACTTACCCTCAAAATGGTGTTTTAAATTAAACATTGTACTCATTTCCGAAAAAACAGAAGATACGTTTTTGTACAGTTATATATGCACGCAAATAGTAGTTTTCAAACGAAATATCGTGTACATTACAGTTTGTTATTTTCACCAATGAGAAGCCTGTAAAGGAGCGAGAATTGAAGTTTTCTTTAATTGTTTTTGAAAATCGTTTTTAATTAACTAAATGCACGTTTATTATGAAAATGAAAGTTTTTTACCGATTAACTAGATACAGTGTGTTCGTAAAAGATGTAGAAAAAGTTTGGTAAAAAAATCAAGAACAAATTGACATTTAAGAGTCATTTTTTTTGTTGCTCAGAGCTGTGAGATGATTGCTGTTTATTTTTAATGACAATTTGGATTCTTGTTACATATTTTGAATTAAATGTCCCTCAAAGGCACGCATTAAGACTCTCGACGCTACTTATATCATAATCTCACTTAGTTGAGATCAATGGAAAGTTATGATCTTAAAAGAGAAAAATTTGTACTGTGTATGTTAGAGGATCTTTTTTTATCGAGTGAAGTATAAATGAAACAAACTGATGCACAGAACAGTCTATAACTTCCAGTTAGATGTAGTACTTAGTTATACAATTAGTTTTTTTACTTAGTTGACAGCACAAACTGAATTAATTACAATAATAAAAAAATAAGTGATATTTCCTTCAGGTAGGTATGGAAATCCAGCCTAGAGGATTTACGAAGTTAAAACATTATTTTAATCGATAAACTACTTTTAAAAATAATATAATGATAACTCAGCACGTGTTTTTTATCATAGTGTCTTCTATTTTTCAGGACACCGAGGATGACCAAACTTGCTTGGAGGATTTTCAGGAATGTATTGAAGAGTATCAAGAATGTTTAGAAGTGGTACACATATGCATAGACGAAGATAACTCTTCGTTTAACCGTTCGGCTAGCACATCTCAGATAGAAGATCTGGGCCAGACTATAACCAATGCTCAACAAATCGTAAATAAGGATATTTTAGATAACAATAATTTATTAAGAGTTGAAAAAAAAGATAGCATAGGTGACAGTGATTTAGACATAAGTTACAAAAGTACAAACGACCATTTAAACAATAAGATCGAGTGTGATAATAAAAACTTGAGTAGCAGTACTCCGTTGAAGACTATCATCGATAATAAAGGACTAAATAAGACCGATAGCTTAACACAGAGCGATAAAGGTACGCATTCCTCCAACCAAGATGGCTACGAAACGTGCGTAGACGAATCCTTGTCGGAGGAAGTGCCGAAAAACAATAACGAACAACTAGAAGAAGAAGTAACACCAACAAACTCCAAAGCGAACATATCAGGAAGTTACGCCACCGATTCTGAGGCAGCCACCGTAATTAATGCCACTTCCGAACCATGCTTAACTTTGGAGCAATGCACCAATCACATCTACTTAGACACAAGGTCGGACGAAGAACCCAAGTCGTACGACCAAAGCGACTGCTTAGGGCCCGACGAGTTTTTTCTGGTTCAGTACCCGCCAGACGAAAACCAGGAAGTAGTACCTAAAAGTTACAGCGAGCCCAACGTGTTGGACAAAGTGTGCGACATGACACCCAGAAAGCTGACTTACAGACTGAGGGAGTATTACAACGATTACAAAGATTGTCTGGAGTCGTACAAGATCTACACTCAAGAAAAGAAAAAAGAGGAGATGAGCGACGACTTAATTTTTAATGAGATTTTTCTCCCTTTCAAAAGCAGGTCAGCCCCTAATATCATGGACAGTTCCTTTGTGACCCTCACTTATGATCCAGGACCCGATCGCAGCCGTAGGAAGTCCGATATTCCACCAGGCTATCTAGGCGCGGAAGACAGGTTGGCATAATTATTTTTACCGAAACCTTTCAAGGGATTCAAATCGCGTTAACCTACTAACTTAATTAGATTGCCGTTGTAGTTGCGTTAAGTCGGTTAAAGAAATCGGCGTCTTTTGCTGCTTTGTCTCCTTGTTAGGACATAATAGTGAGTTTAAGTAATAATTTCAGTGAAGGAACGCTACCAATGACGGTAATAAGGCCGATTGATAGTGATTATGGTACTCTGAAGGGGAATCACGTTAGCGATATGTTGCAAAAACACTGGGGCTCCACACACACGGTTAAAGTGTACAGGGAACCGAATACCAGTTTAGGAATTAGTATCGTGGGCGGCAAGGTAAGTAATTTAGTTATTATTCTTTGAAAAATTGCTTAAAATTGTTGTCGTAGGTGGACATCCATTCCACTGATTCATCTGACAAAATTCTGGGTATTTTCATCAAACATGTTGTACCAGACAGTCCTGCAGGAAAATTGGGATTGTTTAAAGTTCGTTAACAATTTGTATTCATAAGTCAGTATCTTAAAATATTACTTTTGCAGACTGGAGACAGGATTTTGGAAGTAAGTGGCATCGACTTGCGACAAGAAAGTCACGAAAAAGCCGTGGAAGCAATCAGAAATGCCGAAAATCCTGTAACTTTTGTTATACAATCCCTAATACCCTGGGTAAGCATAATCTGTTAATTTGATTCAGCAAATTTTAATATATCTAACGTTAGAACAATGAAAACGATGCCGAATCTTACAAAAGTAATGAAAATCTTTGTCCATCTCCATTCCCTTCGCCAGTTAGTGAAAAAGCTCCAATAGAAATACCTCCTCCAATCGTAAGTATACCCAAATATGTTTTCACTTCATACCTACTATATGTACCTGTTATAGATTACAATATCAGACGAGGAGGAAACAAAAAAACTTACTGAAATCAAAAATGAAAAGAGTAGTGAACTCAATAATACCTCTAACAAATCATCACCAGTTAATGTTGTTGCTAACCTCAAGCCGATAGCTCCGGAGTCTCCAATTATACCCGTTAGTCAGAGTGTTCCCGTGAAGGATGAATCTCTCGAAGAAAGTGAAGAAGACGAAGAAATGGACGTCCGGGAAATGGAAGGGAGGACGGTTACGCCGAAGGGACAACAGGTATAGAGTTTATTTTATTCCGGAAGAAAAAATTAAAAAACTGGACCTGTTTGGACTTTTTTTTGAGTGCAACAATTGTGTATTTTTAATGGACGCCAAAAATATCTCTTCACATTTACTCCACATGAATTTTATTTTGATGATTTTATTATATGCAAGTTTTAGTAAACTTGGTGTGTTCTTAAAACTTTTTCTTCAATTAGAAATTTATAAACCCATTTCAGCTATTTGTTAAATGTAAGGATGCTTTCATTAAACTAATAAATTAATCGTTACTTTGATTACCTTGCTTTTTTCTAGATCGAGCGGGCCAGCGCTGGAAATCTCAAAAGAAGTAAAGATGAAATTGCCGCGGATCCGGAGGAAGACGACGAGTTTGGTTACACCACGAGTGAGTTTTTCTTTTATTATCTTTTTGCGATATTAATAACCTAAAATTCTAAATATAACCGTTTTGCTTTGGTGTACCACAATGGCGTTAAATTGAAAACCAAATCAATGTGGTACCTAATAATTAAACCTTAATGGACGTTGCTGATTGCTAGTTCGATTTCAATAAGTTTAACTGGTCGGGTGTCCTGCTGGTTTCGATACGGCCAATTAATTGAAACATTATTATTAGGTTGACGTGTTAATAGTATTTGCAAAGAGCGGTGGCATATTGTCGTTTGTAATTAATTTGAACAAAATTAGATTTGGTTTAATGAGAGACGAAGTCCTGCGAATTACTTATATTATAACGAGGAATTTTACGTATACGGTCCAAGAATATTAGCTAATTATAAACTGAATCATTTTACCAACAGGGTTTATTCTGTAATGTATGTTAACTATAGATATGAGCTGCGGCACAATCTTGAGTCGTTTTTTATAATAATAGTCGCCTGATTTATTTTTAACCTGAGGTTGGAACAAAGAAAGAGATTCTTTATAGAATTAACCCGGATATTTTATTTTTCACGTCATAAAACAATAATATTAATAATTGTCAACTAATTTCGGAGGCTTTCACGGTCGGAATCAATACATGATCGTTTTACGGGTTGGAACCGTGTAAATTGAGTTTTTGGGCTCAACGTTTCGCACACTTTCGTAAGCGGCATCTTCTTGTTGAACGAGAGTTTCGCCTCTGGTATGGTTGACATTCTGAGTTACCGTGCTCTTTTGCCCTGCTCCTGAAGATGCCACTTACGAAAGTGTGCGAAACGTTGAGCCCAAAAACTCGTGTATATACCTTCGGCGTCTCCATTAAATATGTTTGAGGATTATTGCTGGAATCTACTTTCGAAAAATTTACGGAGTCTTCTTATATTATTGCGGGTGATCTTAATTTACCCCAGTGAGATTTAGACAACATTCAAAACCGTGCACTTCCTGGTTTTCGTGATTATTATTAGAATGTAGTTTCTTAGACTACCGCTTTTATGACCTTAGAACAACTGAACAAGTTCCCAAACAGTAGAAATATCATTCTAGATCTTGTTTTTACCAAATTGTTAATTTGGATATTAGTATTGCCATTATTGATCCTATATTTCCTGCGTCAGTTCATCATTTTCCATACTTATGAATGCTGCGTGCCATCTACGTCTCTTTTTCCAGTGCACTCTCAGACTTGATGTTTTGAATTTGCTAAAGGTAATTATTTACAATCTTTTAAATAATTTTTATGCTTCTGTATGTTGGGATTCCATATGGTATGGTCTTACCATAAACAAAATGGTACCTATCTGTATATTATGACATTATCTTTGATGGTTTCGAATTGTACAGGGTGTTATTGAAAGGTACGTACAACAAAATTGACAGTTGTTCGCGAAGTCTAAGAAGTCTGAAAAACTTATTTTGTGTTATCAAAATTATAAGGGGAAAATTAACCCTTATCCAACCTTTTTAAACGCTACTGAGGGATAAATAGGTAAAACTTATTTATTTTCGTAAATCCTAGCAACTGTAACAATAAAACTTTTGTCAAGACTAAATGTTGCTGTAGAAACGAAAGATGATCTTTTTATCAGAGGCGTACAACCAATTTGGACATAAATTTTAATAATTTTTATCTCTAAAAGGACAACACTTTTACCTGAACTTTTTTTTACTTTTAGCACCCATACTTCGAGACCAATTGCCGATTTTATTTTGTACCTACCTTTCAATAACACGCTGTATATTCTATTCACGATAGTAATAAATAGTGCTCGAACAATCCCCAAATGATTTACCAAGAAAATGAAAGATTTATGTGTAATGAAAAAGTCCGCGCATTACCATTATAAGAAATCTGGAAAGTTGGAGGATTACCTGCACTTTAAAAATTTAAGATCTGGTTGCAGAGAGTTGAGTAGACAACTGTATTAAGCCTACATTTCTAAAATTAACTTGAGTATTTCTAACAACCCAAAATTTTTCCGGAAATTCATTCGAGACAAGAAAAACAATGATATGATAGCTAATGAGATGTGTCTAAATTCAGAACTTGCTAAAGGAGGAACACAAATAGCTGACCATTTTGCGAAGTATTTTTCTTCAGTTTATGGGAAGGATGATTCAAGAATTTTTTTATGCAGTACCTTCGTAAGTGAATGACAATAGTTTAAGCGTTACTCTTTCAATTGTTTTTGGTTATATTTTTGCTTTGTATCTGTGTTGCAATAGTGGACCTGATAGAATTCTTAGCGCCATTTTAAAGAATTGCAATTATACTCTTTCGCCGCCATTGTTTATTTTGTTTAAAACTTCTGTAAATTTGGGTATTTTATTTTCCCTCATGCATGGAACAACAGTTATATTATTTCGGTCTTTAAATCTGGACAGCGACAGCGAATTGATAACTATAGAGAAGTCTGCAATCAATCAGTAATTCCCAAATTTCTAGACAGTATTGTAACTTATCAACTGCAGAGGATATCTTCATTAATAATCTCTCTAGATACTAATTTATTACTCCTAGAATATTGTTCTTTTCTTAAATAATGAATCTATCAGTAGTCGATCTTAAGTTGTTCCTATTTATACGAACTTCGCTAAAGCCTTTGATCGTGTTAACCATAGATTATTAATTCTGAAATTGCAAAAATTAGGGTTTAAAAATTTGACAATAGTTGGCTAGCCTCCTTTCTTACTGACAGAAAACAACAGGTCCGCATTTGTAAATACATTTCAGATCATTTTGATGTTTCTTCTGGTGTACCGCAAGGTACACGTTGTGGTCCTATACTTTTCTTATTATTCATTAACGATTCGACTAGTCGTTTTCGTCATTGTAATTATATTTTTTATGTTGATGAAACTTTTTAAAAATATAGGTACGTTTTAATTTTAATAATAATGAAAAAACTTTTAGAGTTTAAATAATATATTTGTATATATATTATTATTAAAATTAATATGGAGTTTAAACACGTATCAGCCTCATCAATACAAACATAGGTACGTTTTACTTTTGAAGCCGAAAAATTTCAACTTGATTTAGATTCTTTAATTGATTTGTGTGATAAAAATTGGCTACCTTTAAATTTAAAAAAATATTACATAATTTCACTTTGTAATGCGAAACCTTTTATTCTGTTCGACTATCAATTAAATAATCACTCCGTGTCTCGTATTTGAAAAATTAAACATTTGACTGGGCTCTTTCTTTCAAATCTCATTGTCATTATTCACATATTTTCAAAAAATATTTGCAAATGTGGGGCTCATTTGGCGTAATTGTAAAGATCTTTCTCCAGTGGCCCTAAAGACTCTTTTTTGTTCTTTGGTCCGCTCTTATCTGGAGTATTGTTCCTCCATTTGGCTTCCAGTTTACTATGTTGATTCGGAACTGTTGGAAAAAGTGCAAAAAAGGTTTTTCCGCACTTTAGAGTATAAACTAGGCCGTAGGCACAATAAAGGTGATTACCAATGGATTATGAATAAATTAATAAAATAATTCATGCGTCCTTCATGGGATTATTAATGGCTATATTGACAATCCAGATTTGTTAGCTAAGTTGTCCTTCGTCGTCCCGGCAGTTGACAGCCGATCTACACTTAACCTATCTATATTTAAGATTCCTTCGGCGACAACTAATTTCTCTGCATATATCCTTTAAGAAGAATTATGAATCCATAAAAAACGATGAGACCGTTACTTATGCCAGTGCTGCCAAACAAACAACATCTATCATATTTCAACCTAAAGATCAATCGCAAAGTGTAGTCACAACTAAATCGGAAATATTACGCAACGTTGATCCAGTAAAAACTGGTGTTTCTATAAGAAATACTAAAACTGCCCGTAATGGAAGCCTAATTATCCGCTGTGATAAAAACCTGGACACTGAAAAAATTGCAAAAGTCGCTAAAGATATTCTGGGTGAAAAAATCCCCGAATTAAAGTTGCAGGAATAACTGATAAAGAAATCACAACTGATGATCCATCTGATTACATCATACACCAAAACAGATATCTGGATATCTGTTTGTAGGAGAACCTTATTGCAAAGTTGAGAAAATAGTACTCTTAAGAAAAGACAATAAACGATTTCAGGCAACCATAGAAGTAAATATTGCTACATATAGATAACAATATAATAAAAAATGGCTACCTCATTGTTGCCTACGATGATTGTATTGTTTATGACGCCATTAATATAAAATTGTGTTACCAGTGTTGTGGCTACCATCATTAATATAAACAAAGAATGAGGTGTTACAGTGCGTGAACTGTACATTTTTAAATACAAACTAATCTTAGCGTTAATCATACAGTATAGGATTTCAGTAAATGCCATGCTTATCAAAAAGCCCAATCTGATTTCGAGTCAAGCATATTATCTGTTAAATAGCAATTATCCAGCCCTTATGAGGTCCCACGTAATAACTCTCATTTTAACTATTTCGTCCATTAATAATAGTAGTACTCAAAATGTCCACATATATTACCAAAATGTTAGAGGTATGAATACAAAGGCCTCAGAGATCCTCATAAACTCTAGTACGATGTCTCACTTTGATATATTAATTTTGACAGAAACTTGGCTAAACTCAAGCTCCTTCAGTGGTGAGTAGTTTAATACAAATAAGTGTTCAACGTTTTCAGAACAGATCGTGACTTTAGCGTAACATCAATGCGAAGAGGTGGAGGTGTGCTTATTGCAGCTCAGAAAGAGGTATAAATAACAGTGATAGATCCAGTGCAACTTTGTCGTCAATTTACGGACCTGAAACTAATAGACATATTAACAGCAAAAATAAGATTGGGGTATAAATTTCTTTCTGTTATTGTCTTATATATTCATCCTTCTTGTGGTGTCCATGATTATTTTTCTCTTTTTGAATGCTTAATGTCTCTTAATATTAACTTTAACTCGAACCTGCTTGTATTAGGTGATTTTAATATACCTGAATTCC